CCCGCCCTCCCTGCCAAGGCGGGCTCAGAGCGGCTTACAAATATTTCATAAAAATACAATTAAAACCTATCATGACATATAAACATATAACATAAAATACCAATAATTTAAAATACAACTAAAACACTGGAACATTATCAAGTAAACAGGAGCAAAGATTATTTATAAAATGACTTAGGTGACCATATAACTCCCATAACTTCACACCAGCTTGATCACTTGTTATGCAGCGGGTACAGGCTGAAGATAGCAATGGTAAGGCCAGGATACAAGCTGGCAAAAGTGGTAAAGCCAGGACACAGGGACACTCCTTGGTGTATGATGTGGCTCTTTAGTCAAATGCCTGGTGGAAGAGCTCCGTCTTGCAGGCCCTGCAGAACTGTGAAAGGTCCCACAGGGCCCTGATCCGGAAGCTCATTTCACCAGAATGGAGCCACCGAGAAGGCCCTGGCCCTGTTGCCAGCATGGCATCCTTGGGGCCTGGAAGGGCCAACTAATTTTGCATCCCTGAACGCAGTGCTCTCTGGGGAACATGTGGGGAAAGGCGGTCCCTCAGGTATGCTGGACTCTGACCATATTCGGTATGCTATCGGCAACCAGTGTAGTGCCTTCAGTACAGGCTGGATGTGCTCCTGCATGGCGATACCCATCAGCAGCCTGGCTGCTGCATTCTGCACTAGTTGCAGCTTCTGGATTTGAGACAAGGGCAGCCCCATGTAGAGAGCATTACAGCAGTCCAGCCTTGAGGTGACCATCACATGGATCACTGTTGCCATGTTGTTGCATTCGAGGAAGAGAACCAACTGCCTAATCAGCCAAAGATGATAAAAGGCTGACCTGGCAGTGGCTGCTACTTGGGCCTCCATTGTTAAGGAGCCATCCAAGAGAACTCCCAAACTCCTAACCTCCGGTGCTGGCACCAGCTGTGCCCCATCGATGGTCAGGAGTGGGATCCCTACCCCTGGACCCCCCCGACTCAGGCACAGGACCTCCATCTTCATCAGATTCAATTTCAGTCAGCTCAGTCTAAGCCAACCAGCCACATCTTGCAATGCCCAGTCCAGATCTTCCGGTGTAGAGTCAGACTGGCTGCCCAACAACAGATAGAGCTGGGTGTCATCTGCATACTGGTGACACCCAAACCCATGCCTTTGGGCAATCTGGGCAAGGGGGCACATGTAGATGTTAAATAACATCGGGGAAAGTACCGCTCCTTGGGGCACTCCACAGATCAGTGGGTGCCTTCGGGACAACTGTTCCCCAAATGTTGTCCTTTGACCCCAACCCTGAAGAAAGGATGAAAGCCATTGCAAGGCAAGCTCCTGGACTCTGGTGTCTGTGAGGTGGTGGATCATTAGCTGATGGTCAGCCATGTTGAACACTGCCAATAGGTCTAACAGCAACAACATTGCCAATCTGCCTCGATCCAGGTGCCTCCAAAGGTCATCCCGTAAGAACCAGCTGTGCTGTTTCTGTCTCATATCCCGAGCGGAAACCAGACTGGAAGGGGTCTAAGATGGAAGCATCATCCACAAAGCTTTACATGTAGATGTTAAGTAACATTGGGGAAAGTACCGCTCCTTGGGGCACTCCACAGATCAGTGGGTGCCTTCAGGACAGCGGTTCCCCTAATGCTGCCCTTTGACCCCAACCCTGAAGAAAGGGTGAAAGCCATTGCAAGGCAAGCCCCTGGACTCTGGTGTCTGTGAGGTGGTGGATCATTAGCTGATGGACAACCATGTTGAACGCTGCCAACAGGTCTAACAGCAGCAACACTGCCAATCCGCCTCGATCCAAGAGGCACGTGGTAGGACGTAGAGAAGAGCAGTTTGTCAACTTCCCCTAGACCGAGTGGACTGAAATAATCCAAAAGGTCATCCGTGAGAACCAGCTGTGCTGTTTCTGTCTCATATCCCGGGCGGAAACCAGACTGGAAGGGGTCTAAGATGGAAGCGTCATCCACAAATCTTTGTAACTAAACTGCCACAGCCCTCTCGATTAAATTGCCCAAATAGGGCAAGTTGGTAGTTAGCCAATTCAGCCGGATCCAATGATGTTTTTTTCAAGAGGAGATGAACCACGGCCTCCTTAAGTATCCCAGGGAACAAGCTCTCCAAGAGAGACTTGTTAACAAGGGCACTTCGAAACCCCTTGTGGCCCTCTTTAATGAGCCATGATGGGCACGGGTCAAGGAGGCACGTGGTAGGACGTAGAGTTAAGAGCAGTTTGTCAACTTCCTCTAGACTGAGTGGACTGAACCCAAAACCTGACAAGATGATGTGCATGGAGCTTCAAGTTCGCTCACTGTTTCAACTGTGGTGGGGTGGTCACGGCAGAGTGACAAGACTTTATCTGCAAAATAGCCAATGTCCAATTCCCTAGCGTTTGACCTGGGAGACTCATCAAGGACCAAATCGTTCTAAATAATTGGGCTGGGTGTGAGCTTGCAGACGCAATTGAGGCTGTGTGGTACTCATTCTTCACAGCTTTGACTGCCTTCTCATAGCATCTCAAAAACGTCCTATAAGATGTTCTTATAGCTTCGTCATGGGGTAACATCATCATGCCACCATCTTTCTAGCCGTCTTAGCTTCCACATCATCAGCCGCAACTCCGGGGTATACCAGGGTGCCAGCCTAGTGCGGGAGCACAGAGGACATCAGGGAGCGATCTCGTCGATGCCTGCGGAGAGTCGGCTATGCCAGTCCTCCACAAGCTCATCTAATCAGCCGCCAGGGGGCATTGGATTCTGCAGAGCCACTTGAAGCCACAGAGTCATTAACACAGCCATCCTTTCTAAATGCTCAAGGACTGTTTGATTATTTGTTATAAAACTTTCTCAGGAATTGACATCAAGCTGACAGGTAGGTAGTTACCCAGATTCTCCTTTTCCACCTTCTTGAAGATGGAGACAACATTTGCCCACTTCCAATCTTCTGGCACCTCACCTGCTCTCCAAGAATTCTCAAAAATAATAGACAGAGGCTCAGAAATTACATCTGCAAGTTATTTTAGTACCCTTGGATACAAATTCATCTTGTTCAGAGGACTTAGTTTCATTTAAAGAAACTAGGTTTTTTATGTACTAGCCCTATGCCAATCCTAGGCTGCAACTCCCTTACCTCATCATGTGATCTGTTTTTGCCATGTTGAGCTCCATTTCCCTCACAAGAAATGAGGAAAAATAGGAATTGAGCAGTTCTGCCCTCTCTTCATCACCTGTTATAATTTCACTTTCCTGTCCCTGCAATGGGCCTACCATGTCCTTGCTCTTTTTCTTACTTTGAACATAAGAACCCTTTTTTTTGTTTTTAGCATTACTCACTAGACTAGCCTAAGCTCATACTGAACTTTAGCTGAACTTTACGCTCATACTGAACTTTAGCTTTCCTAACGCTCTCTCTACAAGCACTGGTTATTTGTTTATATTAATCCTTGTTTATAAAGCCTTCCTTTAGGGTTGCCAAATGACCCCAGGGTGCGGGGAATCCCCCGCTTCGGAGCTCCGAGGTCCGCCCTGGCGGAATTGGGGCCCGGGGGGAACCCCGCCCCCGAAGCTGCGTCACTGGAGGTGACACAGCCACGCCACTTTGAAGAAACTCCCACCCTTCTTGAACTCCCTTCTCCTTAAGTATTTCTGACCATGGGATTCTATCGAGCATAACTGTCAAAATTTGCTTTCCTCAAGTCCAACCTATATGTCTTACATACTGCTTTTCCCTTCCCCAAGACTCTAAATTTCAAAATGACATGGTTACTACTACCCAGGGTGTCTGTCACTTTCATCTCATCATTCAGAAGTATTGGTCTCACGTCCATTGTGATCATCTACTTAACAAGCAGATGCAATAATCTAGCTAAAATTCATATTTGGTCTTCTATTCACATAAAAGGCCATGTGCACCAAAGCTTCAGTCAAATATAGCAATGACTGATCTAAAAAGCTCACAGATGATGTAACAGCACAGTTCTATCCCAAATTCTGCTGGCTCTTCCCAAGCCCATGGAGTCCAAAGATAATCTGGATAAGGAATCCATGGTCATTTTATTACTACTATTGTATCTAGTCATTCCAGACTACTAGTGCAAGTGAAATATCTGGGTAGAGTTAGGGTATATCAGAGAGAATTAGAGCTTAATCAGTAAGCTATAAATGTGTACATAAATCAGACCAGTTTCTGACAATACCATAATTTATGTCACTAGAAGAAACAGCATAAATAAAAACATTCTCACTTAAGTCAATGAAGAGCCCCAGTTGGCTGCCCCTTCCTCCCAGACACATAGGAGGATAACTCGCTCTGCACCTGATCACGGCACACCATTTCTGGAATATTAATAAACCTCAAGGCATACAGATCACATCTATGTAAACACAGGACATGGGGCTTCACCACTGTCCACCCCCAAGTCTATGGAGCAAGGAGCAAATGTGCAGATTTTGGTGACAGAGGAATTTGCATTAACACCCCTCCCCAAACAGCCAGTTAGAACCAGGAAGATGCTACAACCTGAGTACCAAGAACAGCACAGAAGACCTCAACACTGCTGGTCACAGAAAAGAGAGGAAACTGGGCAGGTTAGCAAGCCCCAGTCATTCAACAGGTAGTAAGAGTTTTGCCACAAGCATGAAGGGAGGAATTCTCCCTTTGTTCCAATGAACTGCCCCCCTCTCTCGCAAGCCAATGTCTCATATGAATTGAGGATTTTAAAGGAGCACCAACTGAATATTTCTCACTCATCTGTCCAAAGTTCTACATTGGTACCAATTCAGTATAGCAAAACTTAAACAGCACCAGACAGAATACAAACATGCACATTTTGAACTAAAGCATATTTTTCTATCCATCACTTTGGGAGAGAGCAGGCAATTATAGCTCTTATTCTAAAGATGTACCATTTATTAACTCTTGGTTTTGCTTTTAAAGGATACGTTCTGCCATGGCTTTAGCATCCAACTTGTCAATTTCAGGTGAACCCGGACAACATTTCTTGAATTCTTTTCGTAGGTCAAAAAATGAGTAGAAACATTCAGGCAACAAGATATTCTGCAAGAGACCAAGTTACTTCTGGTAAACCAAGATAGCATCCATCTGTATTTCCCCACCAGTTTTCACACTTACAGTTAGGCTGAAAGCCTGCTCAGCTAACATTACAGCAAGCCCTTTTGCAATCCACTCGTCAGCCACTTAAATATTGTTAAGTTTCTCCCTTGTGAATACTTACAAGATAAAAGTGCAAGCTGTTGTAGATTATAAAACCACAACTAGTGGTTACACTACAACGGGAACACTCATTACTCCTACATACTCATTTTAACCATCCATTAAGGCAAAGGGCAACAGAAAAGGGGCAGATTTTGTAGAAGGCATTTTTTCCAGGAGCAAGCACAGATGACCCAATAAAGTTACAGTTCTGATCTCCGAAAACACAGCTTTGATTATACTCAGTGGGAACCTGAAGAGCAACACACACCTCTTTTCTTCAATACCATAACCAGCCTATTCCCTTTCTCTAGGATGCATCTTTAGTACGAAAAGTGCAACCCTGAGTAAAATTACACCCTTCTGCCTTCAATGGACTTAAAAGGGTGTAACTCCACTTCGGGACTGCACCATATAGAACCTATATATAGCAAGCTTCTAATTCAGACCTCCTCTGTGACAAAGGGTTCAAGCCAAATGTAAAGCCTATTTTAGTGCTGGGCTCCCAGACAAAATAAAATGAACACTTAATAGGTACAGAATGATGGGAGAGACTCAAGCGCCTTGTGATGTAATGATGGAACTGCCCAGATTACTCATGGAAGCTGTGAGCAGGTTATGCAGCTCATCCCAAACAAAAGCTAGTAAAATCCTTCTTGCTGTTATTACTCTGTACAGTTTTAAAGCCTCAAGACTTAATTTTACTTCAGGAAGCCGTGCTTCCAACTAATCAAAATGAACTGCATAAGCTTTTGGAAAATAATACAAAATAATACAATAAGAACAATATCCCACCCCCAATTGTATAAGAAAACTTTCTACACATTTGATCCCATATAGCGCAGTTCACCTTAGGCAAGCGTTATGAATTCCCGGGGGGGTGGGGTGGGGGGAGATCAGAAAAGGGAAGAAGGAAATAAATAACTAAATCAGGCATATTTTTGTGGCAGATTGATTTCTGCATTGCTATACTCTGACAGGCATCTGCTTCCAGCTATTTTAAAAGTTTGGAATGTATGCATTTCTGGAAAAGATTGATCTGTTGCAGGCAGAATGTAGCTGGGGGTGACATGACAAGCGGTCATTGCATGGCTAACATCACAGTATATTTATGTATTTAACCTTTCCCAGAGAATAAAGTACAGTGTTGGATGCATCACTGTGCATATTTGGTGGCAGGTTAGTAGTAACTATAGTTCGAAATAAGTGCTCTTTGAAGAAGCATACAAGAAGGATCACTTTATTCAAAACTCATGCATATATTTGGAATACCAGGCTAGATATTGTTGCTGAGCCTCTACAAAGCTAGAATGTAGTTGGGTGTTTCTTACTAAGGATAATAGGGTTTGATCATATCTAGACTATGAAAGAGGAACACTAACATAAGGATGGTCAGTGCATGAGGACAGAGGAAGGTTGGTTGTAAAAAGGTGAACATCTGGGAATTAAAAAACTGAAAAAAGTGTTACACTGAGGGAAAAAATGTCTGCTTTGGCCAGGCAAGTTCGGCCTTGGGTGCCAGTTTCTCAAAAGCAATGTGTGCATTTTCTTCAGTGGCACACACATGGAAGGAGTTATTCAGAAGTGGATGAGGATAAATTAATTGTATTGTATTATCTGCTTAGCAGCTTTGTGAGAAATAGTACACACCCACTAAGGGAACAAATTTTCTCTTCATATCAAGGGAAAGAAAGCTGACCAAATGAAAGATAATAGGGATGTTTTGCCTTGTTCAAACTATTTTCTAAAGCAAAATGTGCCTATATTTTCATGTAATATTACATTCACTGCAACAGACACATTTGTGAAGAGAAATACTATTCACTCAAACTATTTTCTAAAGCAATATTCAAGTCTTGTTCAGATTTAAAATGTGTCTATATTTTCATTAATATTGCATTCACTGCAAGAGACACATTTGTGAAGAGAAATACTATTCACCAACACTTATTCAAGGTCAATAAAATTGAATGGTAGAAGATATAGTTCAAATCTTTTAGAAAGAAAAAAATGAACAGTAAGAATAGCTAAGTGCACCAAAAGCTTGGTCAGCTAGAGCCAAAGTAAAGTTTGCTTCATACATAACTGTTTCCTACACTGTTCACACTTTGTGTTGGAAACCTGCATTGAAACCACATCCTTACAACTATGTAAGGCATGCGCAAATGCAATATTGCTCACCTAAGATGTTGTTCCTTTTTAAATACAGCAATGATATGGAGGAAGGCACTATATAGGAAGTACTCTTAGCAGAAACAGTATCACAAACATTACGGAATTTTCAAACCAAGCTAATACATACACAGCAAACTTCACATTAGGACTTAAATGTTTAGAATTCAGCCTTCTCCAGTTGCTGCCTGTAAAGTCAAGAACTACCTTGCAAAGTGGCCAATATAGAATGGGGGGTGGGTCCATGCAAGAACATATGAGACCTGCTGTGCCTTGTATACATACTTTTATTGGTAGGGGGTTGCTCTGTTGAATAAAAGTGAGAAGCAAGGACAAGAGGTTGTATGGAATGCAACTATACAATGCCATAGCGCTGGTTGCAAGATACACTCTTCCATACATCTGAGCCATGCCAGAATAAGTCTCCAGACTCCCATCATGAGTCTGGACAAAGGGCAACTCCTGAGGACTTGAACTTTTAAGCAAAAAGGCTTATCCTTAAAATAAAACCAGTGATAACCTTCTTATGAGGAGTGGTTAGGCAGAATTCAAGGAATTACATTCCCCTTACCTTTTTGGAAGCTTCAGGGTGCAGAACCTGCCTGATATGAAGCTGCCCATCAGTGCAAAGACAGAATGAAGTACCCACACCAATATTTAGTTCATTGCTCACAGACTGGTTAAACTAGAAGAGAGGAGACAGAGAAAAACCCACTTACAACATTTCCCAGTACTAGATACAGTATTATTTCATTCCTGTTTCAAATGAAATGCAGTACTTGTGCCTAACCGAGCTTAGGTCCATGGCACTATGCTTTCAGTGCAGCCAGAGTATATTTGACAATCTGACAAGAAGAGAGGCTCATTCTAGCCTGCTTTAGAGGGTTGTTGCAAGATTTGGCTGCTTTATTTTAAGTACTTTGTAAGCATAGAGAACAACAAAGTTTGAGTCCAGTGGCACCTTTAAGACCAACAAAGTTTTCTTTCATGTGCACGCACACTTCCTCAGATACACTGAAATAGAAGTTAATACTCCATATATATAGGCAGAGGGTAAACAGTAAATTAGCATGTTCGCCCTCTACCTATATGTATGGACTGGTAACTTCCATTTCAATGTATCTGTGGAAGTGTCCATGCACACAAAAGCTCATACCCTGCAGAAAATGTTGTTGGTCTTAAAGGTGCCACTGGACTCAAACTTCGTTCTGTTGCTTCAGACCAACTCAGCTGCCCACCTGGATCTATAAGGATACAGAAGTTACTGTTAAAACACTATTAAGCATGTCTCCAGGAGGGGCAGGAAACATTTCTGGAGGACCAGCCCCTATAAGTGAATGTGATCGATCCTCAAGTTGCCTTTACAGATCTCAGCTGAAGCACACTTCAGAGATGCACTTCATACAACACTTCATTTTATTTACTTCATTTGTACCCCACTTTTCTCTCCAATGGGGACCCCAAAGCAGCTTAAAATACTGTTGTCCCCTTCTCCACTTGCTCTTTACAATGACCACCCTGTGAGGTAGGTTAGGCTGAGAGTGGGTGACTGGTCCAAGGTCACCCAGAAAGCTTCCCTGCCCAAGTAAGGATTTGAACCTGGGTCTCCCAGATGCTAGTCCAACACTAACTCTGACACCACACTGGTCCTTACTGGAGCACCATGAGATAAGCACAAAATGCCCCTAATGTAACAGACTAGTGTCTTGGTTGTGCAACATTATTCTACACTTCAATTACCTCTATACTTTCTTCCATAATTAACTATAGAGCAACAATTTAAAAATTCCTATAGGGAAAAAAAACAGGGCAGTTATCAGGTTTTATGCCTTATTAGAGTTACCATTTAACTTATTCCAATCAGCTGAACATGTTATTCTGTTGCAACAAAAAAAGGATGTTTAAGGCGCTAAAGAAATTCTATTAACCATTAAGCCTTATTTTTCTTAAGAAGGAAATTTTAAAGAAAGGCAAAAACTAAGCTAAAACAAGGAAATCAGCTGTTTTTGAATTGAGAGAGAGTCAAGGCCTCTGGGAGAAACACACGCTCCACCTTTCCAGTCGACCTGTGCTTAGCTGGAAGTCCATCCCTCTGAGTTCACTGAGACGTACCTCTATGTAAACCAGCACTGGCTGGGCCTGCATATCGCCGCAATCAGCAACAATAATCACAATGCAATCTTAATGCAGTTCACATGCTTCATGAGAAAGGCAGCCCAGAGACTCTCCTCTCCAAGTTAAGCACATGTGGGCCTTAAAAGTGGAACAGACCGTCTCCTCCCAAAGCGCTAGCTGTGTGACTCACCTCACCCTCCTACAACAAACCCAGCCCATCCAGTGACTTAACATCTTGGGTCTCATGTCAGTTTAGAGCCAGCCCAGGAAGAAGGGGGCAAGCAAGTCACTTCTTGGGGAAATTGGTAAACCAGGAGAGGGGGACAAGCATTTACCTGTCTCAGAGCCTGTTCCAGCTGTGGAGCCAGCATCAGGCTGTCCAACATACTTTGTGTTTCTTCTTGGCATTCCTCCGTCAGCTCCAAAAGATCAGGTTTGATCAGCACTTCATGGAGGTTTCCCACCTCCAGGAATTAAAAAAATGGGGGGGGAGAGACAAGAGATCAGCTTTCTTCCATTTCTTCTGCCAACTTGCCTCAAGAAAGCAGGCCAGAAGGTAAAATTCAGTCAATCCAGTCTGGCAGAACAGTTGACCCTGGTAGACCCAGTCTCTAAATCAAATATGTTTAAGATGTGTTTTCACCTTTACAGTGTAGGCCTATGCTTGTTTACTAAGAAGGAAGCCCCACAGGGTTCAGTGGGCCTTACTCCCAGGTAAGTATGGCCTCACAAGGGCACCTTACAAAATTCAAACTTTGCAGCCACTTGGAGAAGCAGCAACTCCAGATGGGCAACAAGTTGTAGAGCTCAGCTGTGGCTCAGCCCTCCAGGGCCTTCAGAGGGCCAGACAAAACACCCCCCCCCCCAGGGCTTTCTCTTCTCGCCTCCCCACGACCAGAATTCTCGGGGGTCTCCCCTCTGGATGGGGACTCCTCCAGCCCTCCCAGCGACGCGTTACTGGGGAGGGCGAGACAGGCAGGCGACCGGTCCTTCTCCTCCCTCCCCGAGGCCGCCCTCGCCTGGCCCCAACGGGCCAGTACCTTCTTGTTGGCCAGATCCACCACCTTCCACAGCAGGCGGACCAGCTCCCGCTCGTCGGAGCCCAGCCGCGCCCCGTTGGCCCCCGCCGTGGCCCCGAACAGGATCACCAGGTAGTCGGGAGAGGTCGTCATGCCGAGGCGGCAGGGAGCCCAGCGCCAGCGAGGGGAAGAGAGACGACCTTCACCAGACGGACCCACCCCCAGCCCTCTCGCGTGCCGGAGAAGTCCCCGCGCCCCAGCCCGCACCGCACCGCC